GTTTTACACTAAGTGCAAGATGTCAGACTTGAAAGGCTGTATATTGTATGATTTCATTTACATGATTTTCTATAAAAGGTAGAACTGTGGGGACAGGAAACAGATCAGTGGTTGCCAGGAACTAAATGTGGGGAAAGGGAATTGCTGACAAAGGAGCTCAAGGGAACTTTTTAGGGTGATGGTAATATTCTGTATCTTGATTATGCTGATGGTTACTTGACTGTACATATTTGTCAAAACTCATAGAACTGTATACCTAAGAAAGATGAATTTTACTGTACATAAATTATACTTAAATAAACTAAACTTAAAAAAAAGAATGTTCCTGGCTATACTAAGTGCATGGTGAGAAAGGCAGGTTTTATAAATTTTTTGCTGGAGAGTCTCACATTTAAATAGATACCAGCAGTTTACACAGGAGAACAGGCAGCATCACTTCTCTGCCTCCACCTGCTTTTCCACTTGAGACCTGAGCTCCATCAGCCACAGTGACCTTCCCACTCCAGAAGGGCCAGGGGTCAGGAGAAGGAAGAAGAAGTGATGTGAAGCAGCAGGCCAGCTCTGTAGGCAGCAGAGGGAGCTGGGTGAGGCCAAGAGGTTTATCCCTGAAGCTGCTCAGTCACTCCCCCCAGTTAATTATCTGTCTGCTGATTCATGAGTTGTGGTTCCTGTGGGCATGCTTCCTGGTTACTCCTGCCAACAAGAGCAAAAAGAGTCTTAGGGCTGGGAGGGGATGATAACCAGAGATCCCGAGTTGGATGGGGAGCTGCAGAGGAGGAACTTCTACTAGGAAATTCCAGAGTCATACCCAGACTCCTGCTCACTGTTGCCTCCTTGCCCCCTCTTATACTGTCCCCAGGAGACCTCTGCCACTCACATTCACAATTCTGAGGAGGATAAAGGACGATGCTGCCCTCCTGTGTGTTTTCTCCTGGGAGAGGAAAAAGGCAGCACTTCACAGAGGGTCCCCTGAGTTTCCAGCACCATCAGGTAAGAGGCCTAAATGGCGCAAGAGTACAGAGGTCCAAATGCCCAAAGAACTCATGGCCTTGGCTGTATATTAATATCCTCCAGAATGCCCAGGCGGGGCCCTTGAGGATCGTCTATGAATGAATGAATGCAGGTATTCAAATATTGGGTGTCTTAAGTGAGGCACAAAACCTCTAGATGCCTTTTCACAGCTACCCCTAGATATTTATTTTTCCACCTATGTGCCAGCCACTGGGCATAGAGTGTTGAACAAAATCGACATGTTCTTCTCCTCATGAAGCCTGAAATCTAGTGAATTTCTCTTACTTTCCTCTTCTCCCAGAGACAGGACTTAAGGTTTTCTCATGGATAAAGCAAATTTATGGGCCTCTCTTCTCCTTGGGCTCTTCTGTGGGTTCTTGCTGGGTGAGGGCAGCTGAAGCATGCCAAGCCATCAATGGGGAATGGGTTGAAATAAGGAGGAATCCCCAGCCACACAGGTGTGGGAAGAGGGACCCACTGGTCTCATTCTGGGAACCTGGATTGCGTTCATGCATGAAGCAGTAACAGTCTTACTTTCAACACACCGTGGATACCATGGCTAGGAAGAATAATGTAGTAGCTGCCATTTATTGAAAACTTATTTTGTGCCTTTACCTCATTTAATTGGCATTTATATAGAAGTGTCATTTTCTCCACTTTATAGATGAGGAAACAGAGGACCCAAGAGATTAAGTAACTTTCCCAAGGTAAGATAGCCAATAAGAGGCAAAATCAAGAACTAAACCCACATCTGACCGGCTTTAAACCATAGCCGTCCCTTTCCCCAGCCAACAAGCTCTCCTCCTTATGTCTCCCCAGGCTCTCAGGATTCCCACAGGGGGCTTCAGTTGGCGAGTTTCCAGGATATAAATTCAGGAGGAGAAATCAGCACCTCAGCTCAGAGCTAATCAGTTTAGACTGTGATAGCAAACACAACTTGTCGCTCAGTAGGACTCAGGTTAGAATAAAGACCTATAGCCCTGCTTCACTCATGCTGCTTAACAAGGGGAAAGTGGGGACACTGTTTCACCAAGGTTTCCATCAAGTTCAGTTAAGTAAAATGAGTTGTGGCTGAACTTGGAAAATTCCTTAAACCAACTGAATAAATGAAGCATTGCTTTAATGAAAAGAACACTGACTTCTATTGCAGGATAGTATCTTTGAGTTTTAACATTTTGTGTGAAATATATACATGTGCAAGTGACCCCCCCAAAAAAGACCTATATGTGGGGAAGACACAAAACCCAATGTTTCCTGAGTGAAGCTAAAAGATCACCTTTGTACATAAATTGCTAAACTGAAGTCTACCCTCAAATTATCTCTCTTCTCCTCATACCAGACTCTCCTACGCTGGGGTGGCCTCTCTGTGCACCCCCCCCCATCTATCTGTGTCCCTGAGACCCGTGTGTCCCAGCACAGCTCTCCTCTCATCCCACCATCTGCTTCCCAGGATCTGATGATACCTGCAACCCAGCCCCCAAAACTGGGGCGGGGATTTGAATATAATCGGAACTGCTTTTCCTTGGGGGCTTATCACTCTGGAGGTCTTCTCTAGGGCCTATGCTCCTGATTGACTCTAAGGTGCCTCTCAGAGGAGTCTGGCGCGAGCTCAGCACAACCCATCACCGCTTCTGAAATCACCCTAATCACAACGATGAAGCTGTGAACAGATCCCCTAGAGGATATTTAATATAAAGTTAGGTATGTCAATGCAGTAGAATCCTGCACAGATCATTATAACTGTGCACACCAGATCAACAAAAGGTACAGTAGAAGTGAGCGGCAGAGGGAGGGACACCAAAGTAACAAATACATACTTCCTCTTCACTAATTGAATCAAGCACCACGCTAGACTCTATCTTACGTTGCCTTACTTACCTCTAAAACTATAAGAAAATATGATTAGACTCAGAAATCATTCTGAAATTCAGGAAGCTGTAGATATGAAAAGAACACGAAAAGTGTTTTAAGTTCATGGAAGCAGGCTTCTCTGTAGGAGACAGATGAGTTGCCTCTGGATTTCTCCATTACCCCCATCAACAGCAGGCAGCATCTGAACCAAGGATCTAACCTCTTCCAGGGCAAAATGCTGGAGAGTCCTAATTCTGTGCCATGGTCATCAGGCAGCTCACTGCAGGCTAAAGATACCAGATAACCTAGTTGAGCATCTATCACATGAGAAGCTTCAGCAGTAATAACTTAAATAGTCCCCTATATATTATCTATAACACCTTCATCAAATTATGGGTCATAAATTGTGGTAATGTTTTCATGAGTGTATACTTATCTCCATACTCAAGTCATATACATTAAATACACACAGCTTTTTGTACATCAAACATACCTCAATAAAGTGTTTTTATAAAGATATTGTTGCCCTGTCCTGTACACTCTGTTAAACACACACGAGTCTTGAAGTTATCAAGTATTTCTAAACAACTATCTTCGAAATGCACTTACCAATAAATCTTACTTTTTAAAAATTATCTTCTGCAAGATCTAAATTGTCTTACAATTAGTACTATTCTTTTCATTAAAAGTACATATATGCACACTTGTTCGTCCTCTGCAGAGGAACGCCGCCGCGGACCAGGAGCCAGACTTCACCCCGGGAAGGTCACCCGGGCTCCGGAAAGACCACAGGCAGCACGCCTGGGCTGTACTCTGCTCTGTCCCTCCCAGCATCAATGAGGCCGAATGCCAACTGTCTCGGCAGCTGATAGTGTGTGCAGCAGCAGGAGAGACAAAACCAGGGAGTCAAGCCCGCTCCAGGGACCCCTGGCGTAGCTGCTTGCATACACTGGAGATTTTTCGGATGCTGAGTCTGTCCCAGAAGCGAAGGCACCGCTGCCTCCCGAGGACACTGTGAGAGGCAGGGCCCTCATCCTCCGAATCGCTCCCGCAGGGAGCCACCAAATAAAAAACAAACACGAAAACTTGGAAGTGTAACACAAGGAGAAAGAGGAATGTGGAGTAAACTGGCAAACCGGCGCGGACACACTCGCATCCGAGAAGCTACAACCACAAGCCCCAGCCAACGCGCGGGAACAGCCCCGGGAAAGCCCCGCGCGCCTGGGCGACC